GGGGGTAGTTAACGAAATTGAGCACCAGGGATATTGTATATTGAATTTAACTTTGAAATAGGTGCTGTTTTCTTGACCTTTTACTTTTTAAATCCTGTATATGGCATTTTCTGTAGAAGAGTCCAAACAGTGCTGTGTGCTTTGCTATCCTTCTTTGAGTCAGTTGCATGTCTGAAAGACTGAAACATTGAGACAAGCTTTTCCAAATTCTAGCCCATAATGAAAGCATGACATCATTTTTCGAGCAGAACAATTAAAGGAAAAAAAACAGCACATGTAACATGTGGCTTTATCACCTTATGTTGGTATGTATTTTCGAAAAATGTTTCTTGATTTTAAATTTAAAACTTTCAAGTGCAGTGTTTTTTCAAGGTATGCTATCCACAGCTTGCCTTCAATGTTGATTGTTAATCACACTGAAGTGTTGCGATATCATGGACAGAAAGATCTGCACTCACTTATGAGATACTACCAGGAATCTACAGGTCAGTCTCTTCCACTTGCAGACTTTTACTGTTTAAAGGCATAGCTAAAGTGTGTTTCCTTCATGTGGTAGTGGGATGATCTTCAATGGTAGTGGTGGTGGTTGACTTGTTTTACTAGGTTTTATTTGTACTTTTTTGAGGGGATGGAGTCTGAAATAGCATGTCCATGATGTATAACATTGTCTTTATATCCAGGGCTTCGTCCAATCGTTAATTTGAATGAGAATCAAAAGCATGTAGAGAAACCACCAGAAAATTCCATGATATGGACCAGAACCTCTCTGCAAGAAATGTTCAGAACAGACCCATACTTGGTGCTTTCAGTTGCATTTGTCCTATTAAGGGCTATATTATACTTCTTCCCGGGGATGGCATCTCATGCCATGGCATTGTGGGCTGCATATGCTCCTCATCTCAACATTGCCATTTTTGGAGGGTCGAGGCAGCTTCTGGGGCACGTCCTCCACTTGATTGATGTCAAGAGGATATGCAGCAGGCTAAAGCTGTGCAAAAATGGCAACTTTCACCAAGGGGCTCGGAGTGCTCGAGTTTGGGCTTCATCCCTCACTTCTGTTTCACTTGGGGAAGCCTCCTCGTGAACTCGTGAAGATTGACTGTCCCCTTCTCTGGTTAAAGACTTGCAAACAAGCAGCGGAGCAGGAGCTGCCTCGTCCGGCTATTGAAGAATTGAGAATCTGAAAGATCGCCGAAACCACGTTCTAAAGTATGTAGGTTTTTTTGCCTTTTCAACTTCTTGTTAATCATTGTTGTGGCTCTGCTAAACCATTTGTTTTCGATAAAGCACTAGTACACGAAATATTCTGTTGTGATTTGGAGTTGGAGACATACCGCAGTCATGTAAATTTTGAGAAATCACTTCCGTGTATATTTTTACAATCATGGTAACATACTCACAAACTTGCCACTAGGATTGAACCTGGAGTAGATCATAATGAGAACTGTGTTTCAATGGACTAATGCTGTCATGTTTTCTTTGTTTTCCTTGTCATTCATATGCTTGTTGGCTTGCTGTGTGCATCTTGTTTTGTGTCATTTAGAAATTGTGTGTGGTGCAGCCAGTCACTCCAAAAGTATCCTCTTATCAATTGAAATTTGGTACTGTCCCATTTTCAAATGAATTTATATGAAAATATATTGGAGTAGAATAGGAGTGGGCAAAAAAATTGGGTCACACGACCTGTATAGTTCGGCCTGGAAGTGGACAAAATTCTCACGGATCTGCACTGCTACGGGCTGAACCCATTTAAGCCCGACACATTAGGTTCGCAATACGAGTCGGAATATGGATGGGAAGATAATTATACGGAACCGACCCGTCACCTGCATACTTGTATAAGCGCTTTCATTTTTGAAGGTTACGCTAACATTTTTCAAAATCCCCTTTTCTCTCACAATCGCGAGTAGTTTGTCTTTTTTAGGTTAACTCTATTCACCACCCTATTCTCCTCTTTTACTTAATCTAATGATTCAATTCATTCTTGAATATAAATATTGAGATGTTTTATTTGGGTATCCGAGCTTTTGAATTATTACTTCCAAGGGTTTTAAATTCTTGATTAGCATATGCATTCATTCCCATGTTAAATCTGTCAGTGTCAGGCTCTAAGTTGCTCCTTTTTTTAGTTCCTTGTATTTGCCATTATTTTTCTTATATGTATACATCGATATATGAGTACTGTCTTTTAGGGTTCTATTAATAAATTGTTCCAACTTTTAAATTCGCATATTTTTCATGTTTTACAGTTCTTCACTAGTATGAAATCCATGTGAAAAGTATTTTTGGGTAACAAATTGGCCTATTTCCATTTTGATTGTTCAGTGATTGGAAATTGTTATTATAACAAGATCCTGATTCATGAGATTTTGGTAGATTTTTTCAGAAAAAATATTATAGGTTATGTAGCTTGATAATTCATAAATTCTTAACATAAAAATATCAGTTGTGGTATTTATTAGAATCAAGTTCTGAACCAATTGAAGCATACATGGTGTAAAATCAAAACGTCATGCTTGGAAGTGGGGAACTTCTGTCAGACCTCCTAGAGAAGTACTGGGTGAGAGTTCAAAATCTCTGCGAAAAATCCCAAGTACACTTCTCTAGTGTGGGATCACTTTGAGAAAATAAGAGATTCTCAAGAGAGGGAAAAATGCATATACATTGCAAAGGTGTGTGGGGTGCTCATTCTGAAAGGCATGGTGCTACTAACTAAGAAACCATGTCCCTCTATGTAAAATGAAACAAACTTTCTACTTGAATCATTATTTCTGCAACAACTAATCCTTTCCATTGTCTAAACTATGGATTGAGGCATCAAAGATGAAAGGCATAAATAATGGAATCTAATTCTTGGACAAAGGCAATGGGTAATGTGTTGGCCCCAAATAAGAAGTGTTACTCCCTCTGTCCCCCAATTTTTGTCCACTTTTGACTTTTGGAACTGTTCATCTAAGCACTTTGATTCATCAAATTCTCTCAATGTGTAAGCCTAAATATAGTCATGTGTAATTTTGTTTGATTTGTCTTAACATATAGATTATTAATATATAATTTCTACTCCGTATAATTTTTTTAACATACAAATTACAAGATAAAATAGATTAAAGAAGTATATTGGATGATGTGTAAAAATAAAAGTAGACAAATGCTCTAAGAGGGAGGGAGTATTTAATATTTTGCTGTACAATCAAAGTGGTTACTTTTGTTAGACATCCTGACGTGCATGTGAATTGTGATGAAACTTTCTTAGAGGGTGTTTGAGAGTGTGGTGAGTTATGTAAAAGTAGAAGTCATAATTTAGAAGTAGAAAACATGTATTTGTAACTTTGCTAGAAAGCACTTCTAGGCTTTAATTTTAACTTCTAAAGTCATACTCCCCCGTCCTAATTCTTTCTTCCAGTTTGATTTTTCCCCATTTTTAATTTTTGACTTTGATTTCAAATTTTACAGTCCTTAAAAAAGATTTTTTGAAATTTTTTTTGCAATCATTCAAAATATAGAGTTAGAAGTTAATTGGTGTAAATACATGAGAGTATTAATGTCATTTGTCATTTTTTTTAATGGGAAGTTAATTTTAGGACGGAGAAAAAGGAGAAATGTGAAGAAAGTTTTAGGATAGGAGTAATTTATAAGCTAAAGGAGATTAGCAAACATTTAAAATTGTGTTTTAGTAAAGTAGAAGCTATAAGTTATTTTCAAATGTAATCCCAAACACCCTCTTAATATTACTATTATGTTAAATTGTTAATTATGCTGATTGAATTGTGATGGAACTTTCTAAGCAATAATTATGTTTTCCTATGCTCATGTATTTTGTCACTGACGCTTTAAAAAGTACTTCGTACAAAATACTCCGTATTTTGACATCTATGAAATCCTTCAGGTCCCGTTTGGTATACGGAATTCAAACTATGGAATTGGAATTGGGGATTTCAATTCCAATTCTCATGTTTGGTAGCACAAAAATTATGTGGATTTGGAATTGGTAGTGCAAAAAATGAATTAGAATTGGTGAATTCAATTCTATGGAATTGAATCCCTTGAAATTTTAATTCCAATTCAATTCCAATTCCATCAATTCCGTGTACCAAACGGACCCTCAATGATAGTTTTGATTTTTATCTGATCATGTTGATACCCAGCTCGGCCCGTCAAAACCACAACCCGAATGATCCAAATCCACATCCAACCCGGTGAATAACGAGCCGGATCACAGAATTTATGATAACTAACCCGCAACCTTGTTGGGTTGCCCAATGAAGTGCGGGCTGGAGCCAAACCCGACCCGTGCACACCCCTGGGAAACACATCCCGTATCTTCCTCGTCATATTTTTATATTTCTTTGGTGATAATTTCTCTGCAAAACAAGCAGTGTATATAGCTTGACATTGTGCATTACACTGACACTACTACACCCGGAATGCAATGGCCTTGAAAGATAAGGACTTGTTTTCATCTTAGTAAGAGAGCATAATTGACAAATGCTAAATTAAAACAGGACTAACCACTTTACAAGCAAATCTTCCTTGCAATATTTCAAAACTGTTGCTGAAAAAGCAACTTAAATCTGCAATATAAACGCTCTACGATCACCAATTAGGCATACTCTAACACTAACATTCCTACCCTTTGATTAATATTCATTTTTTCCCCTTTTCGCCGTTCATTTACACGATTAGATTCTATACTCTTACAGCATCTACTCATGTACACACCTTCGCATTCCCAAGAACTCTCTTTGAGAGAACATCAAGTTTTGACAGAAATGGGAAAGGAAGCTCTTATAGGTACTTTGTGTCTCACCTTCCTGTGGATTGAAGAGCATCATCAGCACGGCATACAAAACGACCTTCTAAGAATTAGGGCTAAGGCTGAACACCTCACTTTTAGGGGATGAGGCACACCAGCTGCTTCTGCATGTCTGGCATCAACAAGGCCTGCAAAAAAAAATGACATGAATATTTAGTGTGAACAGGCACACACAAATTGTTTTAACTCTATCTGATTGTACTTTTTCAGTGATTTTTTTACAACACTCAGTTTCAAAGGGCAGGAAATGGGGAGGGTGTGCGTACACACACGTTACACTACTCGAAAGTAGCCACTCAAAAAGAAACACTCTCTCATCCACCTAAAAATTCTTAATCTGATAAACCAGAACCAAAACCAATTCCAAAAGCGCATATGCATATATATATATATATATATATATATATATATATATATATATATATATATATATATGCTGCCAAGAAGAAAAATATATAAGCGGTGAACTCAAGAATAAAGATATAAAGTGACTACATATAATCAGAGGAAGAACCTTACAGTGTAATCTGTGTCACACATATTTGTCATTAACAGCTGCCGGGCGTGAAATGCTCAGAGGGACATAGCAAGCAAAATCTTCTTTAAAACCCGATGACTGGACCATGCACTCTATAAAGCTTCAAGTAACACTGAGGCCTTTGTAAATACATTGAGTACAAAAGGTGCCTCTTCACCGGGGTGTATTGTTGTAGGCACAATTGTGTAACCTTTTGGATCAGGTTCCAACACCATCTCACACGAAATTTCTCGAGAGTTTACATAATCTGTTCCACCAACAGATTCATGCATATAAATGTTGAAGGAAGCGCGCCGGCCACGGGTCTTTAGAATCCTCATCCCAATGTAGAACAACATGGAATCATGGCTGGACTGATAATTTCTGAAACCAGCAGCTGTCCTTGAAAAGCTCACGCCCTAATACAATAGCAACTTCTTTAGAGCTTTGTGTGTATATCAGCATGTGTGAGTTATTAGATACTCTTTAGAGCTCACGCCCTAAGGAGTCACGAGCGTTGGGGCTTAATAAGCATAATAGATTTTCTATTAGTTCATGTAGCCAGCCCATTGCATATTTCTTAAAGTTTGGGTGGTGTTGTTGGTGGGGGGGGGGGGGTCAAACAACGTTACAGCGCACATACATAGTTCTCTATATCTAATAAACAGAAGTTAGAAGTTAAACCCTACCTGAGTTAAGGTAATGAAAACATGAATGGGCAAAGAAGCATCGGGCCCTCTGGCCTTCAGACAGAACTGCGGGTTCTGGTGCCAAGTATCATAATCCTGGCAGCCGCCAGCACTACAACCTCGCCACTGTCCATGAACAGAATAACGCATTTCCGGTGGATACACACGACAAACATAAATAGACCTGAAATGTATTTGAAAATCTTGCCAAGACATCCAGAATATGCCATCTTTTGCCTGTGTTCAACATTAATCCACGAAAAGACTTGTAATTCTTGAAAACAAAACGAAGTTATTTTTATTCATAAAATAGAGATATCACACTACGACCCAAGTACTTACAATAAATATTAAATACAACAAATAGAAACAGCTACCTGGGGGACATGTTTGAGCTTGTGTTTCATCCTGTCTGTCCATTCAGGTGATGAATCAGACCAAGGACCATTCCACTCAACCTCATTTGCCCATGGATTTCTGATCTGAACAAGTTTATAACCATCTACTTCTCGTACCTTAAAAGACACATGCCAAAACAATGAATAAAAAATGCACAATTAATTCTTCCTTTGATGCCAAAAATAAAAGGTTCCAGTCATATATGTACTCTGTCCCATAATTAAATTCACTCTTTGACTTATAGAGTTTAAGAAAACTGTTTTTTAAAAGTTCTAAACAAGATAAATCTAATGGAACAAACAGGGACGGAGGTGGTATTTGATATACCTGCAATATTGAGTAGGCATGGCCTTGAACAATACCACTCGAAGAAATATGCACATCTGAACCTGAAGGACTACCAGCACCAAGTAGAAAACCTTGTTGATTGAACCGTAACACTTGAGACCATAATCTTCCACTAGCAAGATCGATCTGTGCTTCAGTACTTCTCATATCAATTTCCTCACCAGCGCCCCCAGTGAGATCAACAAGAGCATCTTGGACAAGTCCACCTTCCAATGCCTCATATGAACCATGAAGCTTAGCATAAGCTTTCTCCAAGATGGAGACCCACAGTTCATTTTTCTTCTTGCTGGTGGCAAATGCAGGTTTACCAGGTGACTCACAGGGAATCCAATCATCAATAACAACAGGAACCCATTCCCCCTGAATGGACAAAGCCAAAAGTGTGCATGTAAAAAAAAGTCATCAAACAAGAGTTCTTCAAATGCCATACAGTAAAATGGAGAAATTGACCTAACATTAGGCCAGAAAATAGTGAAAACCACCAGGAAAACACCGTGTGAAATATGTAAATGTTTATTCACTTGCATTCCATAATTATATCAGGTGAGCTCTATGTCTATATATAATCATTTACACATATAAGTTAAGAAAATATAATCATTAGGTGATGCCATTACGATGATGTCACCCCAACAAATTCATATGTTCGGAAAGTCCTAATCTCCAAGGAAGCTAGATCTTTACTTCTCTAAATAATTTTACATATATGAATGATGGCTCACCTGGATACAGAAACGAACTGTGTAAATTCCTTCCTCATTGTATTCAGGTGTAATTATAACTTCCGATATTCGTGAAACCTCAGTTAAAACAGCAACTGCACTCAGAAACCAACAATCACCCAATCGTCCCTGAATTTTATAGTGGCAACATTAATATGGTAATATACACATACAAACAAAATAAGTGATTTGTCCATGGAGAGGAAATTGTAGGGGAAAGTCCAAAGAAAGACTTCGGAAATAGATTAAGATCACAAGTTTTATATAGCAATACAGCATAACTATTTATTTTGTTTGCAAAACCTGGCAAACGTCTGAAGAATTTGCTGCTCCAGAAAACAGGCATGGACCAGAAACAAGCTGATTCTCTTCAACTATTTCAATGGGCCTCATCCATGCAGCAACAACCTTCAAACAAAAGTTATTGTGAGTGCTGCCAAAGTAGGTTTGTACGCATATGCCATGCTCCAGAAAATGAAAACCATGCCCAAAAAATCCATTCCAAATTGTTGCCAGTGCAACTCACCTGCAGTTTTGAAGGAGGGTTATCTGGATCAACAAATAATGAGCGAACACCAGGGGGGAATTCTTGATCTGTGAATTGGGATTCTCCTCTTGCCAATAGAGCCTCCTTCACAGCCATTTCAACTGAGCGCATGCGTTGATTCATTTCTTCTTGTGTCTCCAATGATGCTTTCCTCAAACTTCTCGTAAAAGAATCAACATCCAATACGACACCATCCCGTTCAGATCTCCTTCTCCTCCCACTTGAATACTGTCCATCCCAATCCACATCATCTCTGTCATAAAGGTCAACATCTGCAGGGTCGCTCTCCCAGTCATCAACCTAAATGAGAGAATATAAGAGATCCAAATAGATTAATGACAGAAATGAATGCGTAGGCGTTTTATTTGTAAAAATTGAAAAATGAGCATGTGGAAGAAATTGCACTTTATGCAATATACAATTTTTGGACATAGAACACTGACCCTATTTGGAGAGTCCGTCCATTGAAAATTATCATCTAATAGATTGATCATATTATACTCCGCAGTAACAACTGCACCAGGAAGAGTGGCAATCTCATCTTCAGTTAAGCACCTTCCCCAAAGAAATACATCCATTATCTGCATCTTAGAATCAGCTGCTTCACTATCCGACCTCCCAAATGCGTCAAGATCAATAGGTGGCCGTATACCCACCCAAACCTCTGTTCCTTGCTCCCATATGCAACTACCAGTATGCAGTGGTAGCCCTGTCTGATAGCCATCAAAATTACCATCTAGATAGCAAGATACTTCCCCTAAATCAGCATCTACAGTCAATGTAACTATATGCCACCTGCAAAGTAATTTCTCTTCAGATCAGGAAAATATGAATTCAACTTCTAGCCCAGATAAGAGTACAGGAGCAATGAACTACAGCGGTAGTCCGACACACCGATATATTCTTTAAAAACTTGAGAGATTTGGTGTTACCATCAGCAAGCTATTGGTACTGACATGGCGTTCAAGAAGCAACCCTACAAGTAAAAGAATACGCACCTTCCATCAGCAATGTTGCTCGCACCCACACTCCACTCCTTTGAGACTGTTGTTTGTCTATCACCCTTGGTAATTAATCTAAGTCCAACTTGTCCAGCTTCAATGCCTTGCTCAGACCCAGCAACAAGAAACTCCCAGCATATCTTCTTCTGCATTTCAGAACCCAAGAGACAAACTGGTCCCGACTCCAGCTGCACCATGACAGCAATAGAAACGCTAACTCTATTACTACAACAAACACTGAGATCCATGGTTCCACAATGTCTGCCGCTGGTAGTAGGCTCATCATCAAGAATACATACAGCACCACTAAGTCCAGTCTGCAATAAAAAAGAAAAATCAGAAGATAAATTTAACATATCAAATCAAAATCCAGAAGAGAGCATGCCAAGAAGTAAAAATGTGGCTCACGAAATTTTTCCATTATCTAAACAAATTCCGACCATGAAGTTATTGGTACCAGATGTCGATAAACAGAAAACAGAAATCTAGAACAAGAACTTATTGGAAATCCTTCTCCAATTAATTGAAAAACTTTGAATGCATAAAATACAGAGAAACTATCCCTATTTATAGATGAGTTAACCTTGTCCACCAAGTTAAATCATCAGCCTTGCTCTCCAAGCATAACATCTCCTACTCCTACAAGCTATGATAATCTCAAATCCATCTGAGATATATCTCCTAAAATTATGACTGACTCTACCCTAATTATTAACAAATAAAGACTTCAACATAATTACAAAATAAAACCCCTAACTATTACTGAATGTCAAGATTGGTCCAACAGACCATATACTTTTTACCTTTCAACATTTTTCTTAAACACCATGAAAGTCAAATTAGATAATGCTTTTTGGGACAGAGGGGGTATTACCATTGTTATCACATCGTCAAATTAATATGCACTAAGGGCAGAACAGAGCCATGCCACTGGCATATTTTGATGTTTGGTAACCGATCATTAGTGTCATACATGGAGACGTTTATTGATTAGAAACAACCAAAATGCAAAAACCAGTTTCCCTTGTGCCAACCCAACAAATTAACTATAAAGTTTTTAACAAAGACACATAGAAAGAAGAGAAACTAAAGTGCATAAAGAGAGACAGAGCGACGAAGCATAGCAAAGCCTAGTTTTGCCGTTGTTGACCCTCCACAACTGCCAGACATAACCACCATTGTGAGACATCACAACTACCGCCATACACCACTACAAATTTTTAGAAGTATGTTTTCTCTCTTTTCTTCTTATAATTCCGTTTTACTTATTTTCTTTTCCTCTTCTACTGCATATTTAATATTTTTTCAAGTTGCTACTGCATATTCAAGTTTTGATAGTTGCTACCGCATGTTTGGCTGTTTCCGCCAACTGCGTTTTCTTTGTCTTCTTTTACTGCCAGCTGCCTTTTCTTTCAGTTTTCTGTAACATGGCATATTTAATATTTTGCTAGCTGCCAGTTGCTAGTTTTAATGCTAATATATTCTTTTAGTTTTCTTCTCCTGCCTATTTTATATTTCTCTGCTACTCCGTAGTCACTACTGCCTTTTCATTTGTAACATGTTACTGTTCTTAGTAATTACACTTGATTATTACACTTATTGTTTCATTTCAGAAAAACAGATGCATGGTTTCTTACCTAGTGATCTATTTTGTGTTGATTTTAGATATATGCATTGGGTGTATGACATAGTTGTTACGGCGGCTAGGCGAGGCTGGGCGCTAGAGCACCTTCCAATCGCCTAGGCGATTAGGCGCCCGCTGGGCGAGTGGGTTATGGCGACCATAAAAATTTTATAGGTACTAATGTTAAAGCATATAATATGATATAATTAATTAAAATGAACAGTAATACCACCTTTATGAAATTGAGTATTATAATATGTGTGTGTGTGTGTGTGTAAGCCTACTCCAATAAAGGGAGCTTTTAAAAGGCCTATTAAATTTTGGGCCTTATACTCTGGTGTAAAGGTCCAATAGTCTTTTAATGAACCTAGCCCAGTTATTTGACCTAGTCCACTAGTCTAAATGATAGATGATAGAGAGTTAGAAAGACACAGGGAGCCGCTACAGAGACTGGAGCCGCTGGAAGCCTCTGCAGACCGCGACAAATGATCTGCGAGAAAGATAAGTCTTCATTCTATCTTCTCCTCCGTCTTCTCTCTCTATCCCGCGCGTTCCCTTGCGCTTCTAAAACGTAGATGCGTCTCCAAGATAGTCACTAAGTCGCCCAGGGAGAAAAAAGCTAGGCGACCAACTAGGCGTCCACATAGCCTCGCCCAAACGCCTAAGTGTCGCCTCGGCGACGCCTTGATAACTATGGTGTATGAGGCTTGGTTTTATTTAATACTCCCTCCATCTCATAAGAATGGTATCTTCACTCTTCACATGACCAAACCATATCTTATTTCCCTCCCTATTTTCGTTAATCATTTGTTACAATAACATGGTCAATTCACATCTTGTTATATTATTTAATTTTAAACAAATATTTACATAAATTGAATTTAAAATAACTTCACTCAAGTATCGTAACCCAATACTTGACTAGTATTATGGGACAGAATACGTGGATATTTGAATTTTTGAAATACAAGAATATGATATGGAGTAATCGATATGTCAACTTATCAACTAATTGTCAACTAGTTGGCTCACTGGCTACTCTATTGACATGTCAACATGATGAACTTACCATGAAAGAGTACTGATAGGAGAAGGTAACATAGAGAGTACATGTTCATATTGAAGACCCCCATAAACTAGAATTATTGAAAAAATGATAACCTGGAGTGCTCTCCGAGATAACTGGCCTGCACGTATGCGGCGTGCAATGCTTGAAACTCTCTCACGAGCAAAAGAATCATCAAGAACTGAATCACCTCCAACTGCACGAACAGCAGCTGCAACTGCTGCTGCTTCTCTGTTGCCAGCATTGGGAATAGATGACATAAGAGAAGCTTCTATCTCTTTCCATTTGCGTTCTTCTTTCTCCAGAAGAGCTCTCCTCCTCTCTTTACCCCTTCCTTCCTCTTCGCGTCTCTGCATCAATATTTCTTCTTCCATCTCTTTCTCTCTTATATAACTACACATAGATTTACAAACTTAACAACTTATTTCACTATGAGACCGGGTAAGGTAACAGAAGCAACATTAATAGCTTGAGATGTTCCTATATACCTCTCTTGTATAAGTTCAAACCGCCTATGTTCCTCTGGTAGCCACTTTTTGATATCCTTAGCACTGAGATCTGGCAATCCTATGCTGTCGAGGAAAAGTCTTAAACGAACCTCATCCTGTAAAAGAAGAAGGTTAGCATGAAAAAGGCTTCATGTGCTGTGTGATAGAATGCTTAAGCATTTATACCTGTACACGTTCAGCTTTAGCCGTCAAACCAAGTAAAAGAAGTAAATAACCACCAAACTTATCCCACATGTAAACCCATTCAGTGTCAATTGCTTCTTCCAGAGCTAGTATTCTGGCATGAGCACACATTTCTCTTTTGTGACCTATATCAGTTATAGCTTCGTGCTGCAGGGTCTTATTTCTCAACCTAGACATAAGAGATCCAGCAGCTAATTCTTCATTTCTCAAACGATCTCTTAATTTCATGACATCAGCCCTAGGAAGTACAAAATTGCCTCCTTTATCTCGAATTACAGCAGGATCCCCAACCAAAAGAGCAGCTGAGCTGGCAGACCTCTGGGGAGCAGAGTAAGTTCCAGATAAAGCGTTTCTGGTCTGAATA